TCGAGTATCCAGATGGCTCCTTATGAGGCTTTATATGGTAGGCGGTGTCGGTCTCCGATTGGATGGTTTGAGCCGGGGGAGGCTCGGTTGTTGGGTACGGATCTGGTTGAGGAGGCCTTGGACAAAGTCAGGATTATTTAGGATAGGCTTCGTACAGCTCAGTTCAGGGAAAAGATTTACATAGACCGCAAGGTTCGAGATGTGGCTTTTATGGTCAGTGAGCGGGTATTGCTCCGAGTGTCGCCTATGAAGGGTGTGATGAGATTTGGGAAGAAGGGCAAGCTTAGCCCTATGTTTATTGGTCCGTTTGAGATTCTTGATCGAGTGGGAGAGGTGGCTTATAGACTTGCTTTGCCGCCGAGCTTATCAGCTGTGCATCCAGTGTTTTATGTGTCCATGCTTCGTAAATATAATGGCGATCCATCCCACGTGTTAGATTTCAGCATTGTCCAGTTGGACAAGGATTTGTCTTATGAGGATGAGTCGATGGCTATTTTAGACTGGCAGGTTCGTTAGTTGAGGTCGAAGAGTTTTCCTTCTGTTTGTGTTCAGTGGAGAGTTCAGCCTCCCGAGGCATCAACCTGGGAGTCTAAGTCCGATATGCGGAGCCGTTATCCTCATCTTTTCCCCGACTCAGGTACTTCTTTCTTATGTCCGTTCGAGTACGAACGGTTGTTTTAGAGGTGGAGAATGTGACGACCCAAAAGGTCATCACTTGATTTTAATTGAATTCTGTGTCTCTGAGGCCTTAAAAACCTCATTTAGAGCGCCTCAATTTGCGTGCGCAGTCCGAGCACGTAGCTGGAAAGCTTAAATATGAAAATCTGTGAAAATAAATAAGTTTTGATTATAAAATGAGTTAATTTGACTTCGGTCAACGTTTTGGATAAATGGACCCGTACCCATGATTTGACGGTCCCGGAGGGTCCGTAGAAAAATATGGGACCTGGGCATATGCCCGAAATCGAATTTCGAGGTCCCAAGCCCGCGATATGACTTTTTAAAGAAAATTATTTTCTGAAATTGTTTAAGGAAATTTGAAATAAAATCTGATTAGAACATGATGGTATCGGGCCCGTATTATGGTTTCGGTGCCTGGTACAGGTCTTATATATGATTTAAGACATTTTTGTAAAATTTGGTGAAAAACGGATGTTGTTTGACGTGATTCGCACCTAAATTGCTAAAGTTGATGTTTTATGACGTTTGAGAAAAATTCTTTGATTTTGAGATTTAATTCGTTGTTATTGAGGTTATTTTGGCGATTTGATCGTATGGATAAGTTTGTATGATGTTGTTGAGTTAGTACGTGCGTTTGGTTAGGAGCCCCGAGGGCTTGGGTGTGTTTCGGATATGTTTTGGGAAGTTTTGGACTTAAGAAAAGTTGCAGAAAATAGTTGTTCTGGTGTACTTACATTTTCTTCTTCGCGTTCGCGGGATGGACCTCGCGAACGCGATGTGTAAATATTTGATGAAGGAATTTCCTTCAATGCGAACGCGTAGTTCAGGTCGCGAACACGAGGCAGTGGGGGGTTATCCCTTCACGAACATGGTCCTGGCCACGCGAACGCGAAGGCCAAGTGGGCCTGGGCAGGGGGTGGGGCAATTACCCTACGCGAACGCGACCCGTTGGACGCGAACGCGAGGGCTCGAGAGGATCCTTCTCCGCTAACGCAAAGGCTTATCCAGCCTGACCCATCGCGAACGGGAAGAGTGTTTTCGCCCAGTGATTTTAAAAGACCCAAAACAGAACACTTTCGGGATTTCATAAAAATTTCATAAACCTCTTTTTCTCCAAAGCTCTTAGGCAATTTTTGAAGCATTTCTTCACCATAATCTCTTGGGTAAGCAATCTTTAACTTGTTTTCTTCCATTTTACCAACACCCACTAGATTTCTAGGCCTAAAACATGTAATTAAGGGTAGCTAATTAGGGATTTGGGTAGAGTTAGGGCTTTTTGATTAATTGTGATTTAGACCTTGTTTTGGGATCAAATTTTGGAACTAATTATATATTCGGGCTCGTGGGTGAATGGGTTATCAGATTTTGGTTCGGACCTCGTGTTTTGACCAAGCAGTCCTGGGGTCGATTTTTGGGAAGAATGATTAGAAAACTATAATTAAACATTGGAATTAGATTGTTTAGCATTTATTGATGTTATTAAGTCGATTATGTATAGATACGATTGTTTTGGAGCCGAATTCGAAAGGAAAGGCGGTGTTTGAGGCTTGAGTTGGCCGTGGAAGTTTGAGGTAAGTGTTCGGTCTAACCTTAGTTTGAGTGATTAGAAGTTGAGTCATATTTGCTATTTTCTTCTTGTTGAGTACGACGTATAGGCATGGTGACGAGTATCTATACGTTGGTGTCGAGCATGACCGTGAGTCTTTAATTGATACTTGTTGTATTCTTGAATGATACTATGGTTGCAATAGTGGGTAAATCCTTGATATTGAGCAAAGACTTAGTTTAATCTCGTGGAATCTACTTATGATTGAGTAATGGTGATAACTGAGATGAGTAGGATTTGAGTTAAGATTGGTTATAGCTGATTCTCCCTTGCCCAGACGTATATACTTGTACTGTTGAGTTCCCTTGCCGGGATAGTATAGCTTATTGTTGATCCCTTGCTGGGACGGTTATTATGATTATTGTTGATTGTATATTTGGAACGGGTTGCGCGCCGCAACATTAATATATATGGATCGGGTTGCACGCTGCAATATTGTATTATATGGATCGGGTTGCACGCCACAATAATGATATGTTGGGATCGGGTTGCACGCCGCAACAAATATTATATTGGATCGGGTTGCACGCCGCAACAAATATTATATTGGATCGGGTTGCACGCCGCAACAGTTATATACATATGGATCGGGTTGCATGCCACAACAGTGTTAAATGATAAGGGATCGGGTTACGCGCCGCAACAGTAGTATTATTGTATTGTTGTAGATACTGTACTGTTCTTTCATATTTCTACTCAGTTTCTGCTGGATTTGATATGTTTCCCTGAAGCATGTTTCCCCCTCCCTTTTAAACTGCTTATTTCCTGTTTATTTTTCCGTTGTATATTATATAACTGCATAGGTTTATCTGGAGTCTGGTCCTAGCCTCGTCACTACCTCGCCGGGGTTAGGCCAGACACTTACTAGCACATGGGGTCGGTTGTGCTGATCTACACTCTGCACTTATGTGCAGATACCGGAGCAGCACTGGGTCAGCAGCAGTAGGGGAGCCAACCTTCAGTCCACCGAGATTCCGAGGTAGTCCTGCAGGCGTCCCCAGGCTCGCGTCTTTTCTATCAGTTTTTATGTTCTGTTACCATTTGTACCTGAGATAGACTATGTTTTTTTTCTTTCAAACACATATATGTAGTAATCATAGATAGTCCGTGAATGTTGTGACACCAGTTCCCGGGTAGAGACATATGTTGATTTTTTTTGCATTACTTTGGTTTCATATTAGTCTAAGTCTTCCGCTTATCTCATATCTCACTATTATTTAAAATCACTTGTTAATATAAGTTGTAAAAAGATTAAAACAAAAGAGTTAAAGATTTCTAATTTCGTGGCTACCTAGTTTCTACGAGTAGGCGCCATCACGACTCCCGAGGGTGGAAAATCTGAGTCGTGACAATGGTTCGGTTTGGGTCGGGTTTTCCCTAAAATGAAACCAAATCAAGTAAGTCGATTTTTCAAATATTGGAACTAAACCAAATCAATTAAGTTGGTTTTTTTGATTCTGTTTTTATCAGTTTTTTTTGGCTTTTTCGGTTATTTATCGGTTTTTTCTTAAATGAAGCATACACTAGCAAGCGCATATTCGGGCGACTACATTTTTAACGTAACACTATCAAATTAATTGTTCTTTGAGAAATCTATTATTTACCAAGATTTATTGATGATAATTGAATCAAAAGTGATGAATAATATAAGTACTCAATTAAAAATCAATTATTTTTAACATGAAATAAATTCTTATACTCAGCAAAAGAAAACTACTAATCAAACTAGAATGTAAAGACAAAGAATTAATTAGATTATTATATTAGCAAAGAACTAGACTAAAAATATAAATGACTAACATGTACCATAAAATTTTAAAAACTTTATATAAAAATATACATATATATAGGTGTAATAATAAATTTAAATAGCTACTTTGTTGTCGGGTTGGTTCGGGTTTTTTCGGTTATTTTTTTATTAAAACCAAAACCAAATCAAATTTGATCGGTTTTTAAATTCAAAACCAAAACCAAATCAAAACTAAAAAGTATCGATTTATTTGGTCTGTTTGGTTCGGTTCGGTTTGGTTCGATTTTTCAGATTTTTATGAACACCTTAATGAATGACCATCAACTTGGATATTTATTCGTTTCTTGGCTTTTACGTTTAGTTATAGCAGTCTATGGAACTATATCTTGTGCATTTAGTTTCTTGTGGTAGTATTTGGATCTATAAATATATTATTATTACTCTCGCTGGTCTATAATAAGTGATTTATTTTGCCTTTTTATTTGATCCAAAATAAACTATCTTTTATATAATCAAGAAAGAATTAATTTTGTTTTTTTTTAAAATTTGCCCTTATTTAGATATCTAAATGTGTCATGTTAATAATATGCAAATTTTAATTATAGGTAAATCAGTCAAAATACGTATTTTTTCCCTAGAAATTAGTCTTTTATTAAGAGGGGTGTCAAAGGTAAAAAAAATCACTTGTTATGGACCAGACAGAGCAGTTTCTAATTTATATGCTTATAAGACGACTACCAAAATGGGCAGTTGTTACCACCGAATTCATTTGGCTTATATCAACCACAATCAACATTATAGTACATACGTTCCTTTTTCAGATTATTATTCAGAACTAAAATATGTGGAGATTAGGTTTAATGTATAATATATGTGTATATGGTCGAAATCAGGTATGCACGATTTCACGAGCTCGAAGAGTCGCTTCAAGCCCGAGTTTAGGATGGGTCGAGTTCGAGGTCGATGGAGTACAAGGCTCAAAGATCGGAGTACGTGACGAGCACCGAAACCGAGTATGACCAACCTCGAAATGATGCCGTTACGGGTTTGGAATAGAAAGAGCAAAATTATCGCCACGTCCCCAAGATCATGACGTAAATTCCGTAATAGATTTGTACGGGTTAGTACGAATCTGTACTAGGCGGTTAGACAGCTGTCCCAATAGGATTCCTTACTGCAAATAGAAATGTACCTTATTTAGGGTTCCCTTATTATATAAAAGGGACCCCAATCATTTGTAACGATCATCAATCATTGAAAAAAGAATATACACTCTTACTTTCTTGATCATTACTCATCAGGAGTCTCTCTTAACTTTATTGTTTTTACTTTACTGTTTTTGCTGACCAACCTCGAGGCCATCTAGCTCGAGGACAAAACTTGCTTAAACATTGGTTTGATTCAACTTACTTATTTCATTCGTACTTTAGATTTCTTGGTTATTAATTTGTATTGAACTAAAACACGTATCTTTAAAATCATAAACAAGTTTAACTGTTACTCGTATTTTCGAGGTAAACAGTTTGGCGCCCACCGTGGGGCTAAAGATAATAGTGATTATGTCAGTACTGATTCTAATAACACACGTTATTTTCACACTTGTTCTTGTCAAGAATTTTTGTTCTCAGGTTAAAATATGTCAAACTCACAAAAACGCACCCGTACACGGCGATGATGGTCTTGGATTTCATGGGGAATACAACAATGTAATCACTCCAGGAGACGGTGTACCACCAACTAACCCTAGAGATGTGCCAAATGTGGAACCAGTTGGTGTTAGCTCTCACATTGCTCTGAATGCGGATTTAGGCGCAGATCCCGAAAGAAGTGTACGTAGGGAAGTCCGATCTGGTGGCCAAGGAACACCGGGTGTAGGAGATGGAGGAGTTAACCTTCATGTAATATTCGAGATGCTACAAGCTTAACAGGTTGCTATCGCTCAACTTCAAAGTCAGCATAAAACTCCAAGTGTGGTTGAGCCAGAAATCACTCGTCGTACTGAGCCGGTGCCTGAAAGTTCAAATAGTAATGGCTCATGGGTTGAACCCACGATTATGAGGATGCTCGAAGAACTCACCAAAAGAATCGAATGGGGGGAGAAAAAGATTGAGGATAATGACAAAAAGGTGGAGACGTATAACTCCCGTGTCGATAAAATACCGGGAGCACCCCCGGTCTTGAAAGGTTTGGATGCCAAGAAATTCATACAAAAGCCATTCCTTCCGAGTGCGGCTCCGAAGCCTATTCCTAAAAAGTTTCGTATGCCCAATATACCTAAGTACAATGGGACGAGTGACCCTAATGAACATGTTACCTCGTACACTTGCGGGATTAAAGGAAACAACTTAAATGATGATGAGATCGAGTCAGTTTTGTTGAAAACATTTGTGGAAACGTTGTCAAAAGTAGCAATGATTTGGTATCACAACTTACCGCCAAATTCTATCGATTCGTTCAATATGTTAGCAGACTCCTTCATAAAAGCGCACGCCAGAGCCATAAAGGTTGCGACAAGGAAATCAGATATTTCTAAGATAAGACAGAGGAATGATGAGATGCTAAGGCAGTTCGTGTCTCGATTTCAAATGGAGCGTATGGGATTACCACCTATCTCGGATGATTGGACCGTGCAAGATTTTACACAGGGGTTGAACGAGTAGTGTTCGATCGCGTCAGGACAGTTTAAGCAAAATCTGATCGAGTATCCAGCTGTGACTTGGTCAGATGTACATAACCGTTATTAATCGAAGATTAGGGTTGAGGACAACCAGCTGGGAGCCCCCTCGGGTTCAATTAATCCTAATAGATTGGCAGTTAAGGCCCCGAGGGATACAGATAGGGAACCGAGATCAAATAGGGAACGGTATCAGCCATATGTCACAGATCGAAGAAACAATGGTTGGGCACAACCTTCCTCGAAATGATCGAAGAAATGATCGAGGACAAAATTCTCGGGGACTCATGAGTAAGAATGGTTTTGATAAACATACCGATCCTGTAGAAGCACCTCGGTTATCGGAGTACAACTTTAGTGTTGATGCATCGGGGATCGTATCAGCTATTGGAAGAATCAAAGATACTAGATGGCCCAGGGCTATACAAACCGATCCTTCTCAAAGAAACCCAAACTTGATGTGTAAATATCATGGCACACATGGCCATAGGACCGAAGACTATAGGCATCTGAGGGAGGAGGTGGCTAGATTGTTCAACGAGGGTCATCTTCGAGAATTTTATCAGTGATCGAGCCAAGAACAACTTCAGGGAAAGAGACACCAACAAAAAGAATACGCAGGAAGAGCCGCAACATGTAATTCATATGATAGTTGGCGGTGTCGATGCCTGTACTCAAACGTACCAAGGTGTCAATTACCAGAGAAAAACTAACTCAGAACTATGTGCCGAGGGCATCTTATCGTTTAATGACGAGGAAGCGGAAGGCATTTCTCAGTCGCACAATGACGCCCTGGTAATTTCTATTTTGTTAAATAAAATTCCAGTTAAACGTTTTCAAGTGGATCTAGGTAGCTCAACAAACATAATTAGATTGAGGGTCGTAGAGCAGCTCGGCCTATAGGACCAAATTGTACCTGCATCTCGAGTCTTAAACGACTTCAACATGGAAAGTGAAACAATGAAGGGGGAGATAATCCTACTAGTGAACATGGCTGGGACCATCCAAGATACAAAGTTCTATGTCATCGCAGGCGACATGAGATATAACGCTCTACTCGGGAGGACATGGATCCACAACATGAGGGCAGCACCTTTGACCCTTCATCAAATGATGAAATTCCCAATAGTGGATGGTGTGAAAACAGTTTACGAAGAACAACACGCTGCAAAGAAAATGTTTGCAGTCGTTGAGGTGACAACGATACCAGAATCTTCGGCCTCGGGAAAATCAAGCACTAAAGATAAGCATTTCCTTATGGCCAAATAGCAATCACCGTCCCCAGCTTTAATCGAACTAGAGAAACAGGTAATCGAAGAAGAAGAGGAGGATTTCCTTACTCCTCGAACTTTCATTGTTCCCGAAGAGTCAGATGCAACCAAGTCAATGGTCGAGGAGCTGGAACAGGTCATACTGATCAAGTATATGCCCGAGATATGGATTATTTTGCTTGGTCCCATTTAGATATGACAGGGATCCCACCGGAAATAACAACACATTGGTTGAGCCTCGACCCCAGGTTCAAACCAGTAAAGCAAAAATGAAGGCCCTAGTCCGAGGTGAAGCATGCATTCATAAAGGATAAGGTAACTAAACTTCTTAAGATACGGTCCATTCGGGAGGTGAAATATCTCGAGTGGTTAACCAACGTAGTTGTAGTCCCTAATAAAGGGAACAAACTTAGAATGTGTGTAGATTATAAGGATTTGAACAAGGCATGTCCTAAAGACTCTTTTCCACTGACTAACATCGATCGCATGATCGATGCCACGACTGGTCACGAGATCTCTACCTTTATCGATGCCTACTCCGGGTACAACCAAATTAAAATGAACCTAGAGGACTAGGAGAAGACCTCGTTTATCACTAAGTTTGAAACGTACTGTTACAATGCAATTCCCTTCGGGCTAAAAACTATTGGAGCCACGTACCAACGCCTAGTTAACAAAATGTTCGAGGAACAAATAAGTAAATCAAATGGAAGTTTATAGTGACGATATGTTGGTTAAGTCCCTACGCGTAGAGGACCATTTAACTCATTTGCAGGAGACATTCAAAATATTGAGGAAGTACAGCATGAAGCTTAACACAGAAAAATGTGCCTTCAGAGTCAGCACAGGAAAGTTCCTCAGCTTCATGGTATCAAATCGGGGAATCTAAATCAACCTCGACAAAATCAAGGCCATCAAAGATATCACTATCGTAGATAGTGTGAAAGCCGTGCAAAATCTAACATAACGAATACTCGCCTTGGGTTGATTCATTTCAAGGTCATCGGATCGAAGCCACAGGTTCTTTTCTTTACTCAAATTGTAAAATGACTTCGCATGGAACCGGAATGCTAGCAAGCATTGGAGGAATTGAAGTGATACTTGTCAAGCCCACCCCTGCTTCACACTCCGAAGGTAGATAAAATGCTTTATTTATATTTGGCAGTGTTCGAGATAGCGGTAAGTGGGGTACTAGTTCGGGAAGAGCAAGGTACGCAGTTCCCTGTCTATTGTGTAAGCCGAACTCTAGGAGATGTTGAAACTAGATATCCACACTTAGAAAAATTTGCACTTGCACTAATAAGCGCATCTAGAAAGTTAAAGCCATATTTTCAATGTCACCCTATATGTGTGCTAACCACCTATCGGGCCGATTGGCCAAATAGACCGTCGAACTTGGCGGGTACGATATCGAATATCCACCCTGAACGACTGTCAAATCTCAAATCCTAATTGACTTCGTCATCTATTTTACACCGACCCTCGTACCCGAAGTGGAGAAAGATTTTCTGCTAAAATCGGGTACATCATCAAGGGTATGGACCCTTTTCACGGATGGTGCCTCAAATATTAAAGGGTCCGGGCTTGGCATTATTTTGAAGCCACCGACAGGTATTACTATTAGACAATCTATAAAAACTTCTAGGTTGACTAATAATGAGGCTGAGTACGAGGACCTACTTTTACTCATTTGTTCGGTGATTGCAGGTCACGAGCTAGCTAAAAGCTTGGGGGCAGAAAGTCATTGAAGCCAAGTACGGTTCTCTTTTGGTAGTAAACCAAGTAAACAAAAGCTTCGAAGTTCGAGAGGAGAGGATGCAAAGATATTTGGATAAGCTACAGGTAACCTTGCACCACTTCAATGAGTGGACTCTAAACCATGTTCCTCGAGAACAAAACAGTGAGGCAGATGCACTTGCAAACCTAGGGTCGTCAATCGAGGAAGATGATTTTGTCCTAGGGACTATTGTCCAATTTTCGAGATTTGTGATCGAAGAAGGTCATGCAGAGATAAATTCTACAAGTTTGACTTGGGATTGGAGGAATAAGTACATCGCATAAGTGGAAAGCTCCCATCGGATCATAAAGAATCAAGGGCTCTATGAACCAACGCTCTAGGTTCACATTGGATGAAGATGGAACGTTGTACATGAGGACATTCAATGGACCATTGGCAGTATGTTTAGGGACGGGGGACACCTATTATGTTTTACGAGAAATACACGAAGGCACTTGTGGAAACTACTCCGGCGCCGAGTCTTTGATTCACAAAATTATTAGAGTAGGGTATTCCTGGGATAGCATGGAAAAAGATACTAAGGAGTTTGTGAGAAAGTGTGATAAATTTCAAAGATTCGCACCGATGATTCATCAACCCGGGGTGTAACTTCACTTAGTCCTGTCCCTGTGGCCTTTCATGAAATGGGGAATGGACATTGTCGGCCCTCTACCAACGGCCCCAGGTAAAGCTAAATTTATTTTCTTTATGACTGACTACTTTTCTAAATGGGAAGAAGTACAAGCCTTCGAGAAGGTCAGAGAAAAAGAAGTTATTGACTTTATCTGGGATCACATCGTGTATCGATTCAGGATACCTACCAAAATTGTATAAGACAACGGGAAGCAATTCGTTGGCAATAAGGTAACAGAGTTTCTTGAAGCACACAAAATAGATAGGATTTTATCAACACCGTACCACCCGAGCGGGAATGGACAGGCCGAATCAAACAAACAAAACTATCATTCAAAACTTAAAGAAAAGGTTGAACGACGCAAAAGGAAAATGGAGAGAAGATCTACCTGAGGTTATTTGGGCATATCGAACGACATCGAAGTCAAGCACGAGGAAAACCCTGTTCTCTTTAGTATATGGCTCTAAGGCCTTAATCCTGGTCGAGGTTGGAGAACCCAGCGCCAGATTTTGGCATGCATCAGAGGAGCCAAATCACGAGGCTATGGATATTGGCGTCGAGCTATTAGATGAAAAACGAGAAGTTGCACTTGTTCGGATGGTAGCGCAAAAGAAAAGAATCAAGAGATATTATAATAGAAGGACCAACCTTCGACACTTTGAAATCAGGGACTTTGTCACGACCCGGAATTTTCACCCTCGGGAGTCGTGATGGAGCCCACTCGTGGAAGCTAGGAAAGCCATGAACCTCGAAACCATTTACTCTTTCATTTTAATTCATTTTTAACCAATTAAATTAACAATAATAAGCATGTAAATGACAGTGGAAAATAAAATTTAGCGGAAGTCTTAAATAAATATGAAACCAAGATATCTAGAAACCCAGTGCATGTCTCTACCTAGAACCTGGTGTCACAACATCCACAGACTACTAAGAATACTACATATATCCGTGTGAAGAAAGATAATATTGTCTGTCTCGAATACATGAGATAACAGAATACCAAATAGGATAGAGGAGACGCCGGGCCTGCGGACGTCTGCAAGGCTACCTTGGTGTCTCAGTGGACTGAAGGATTGCTCCCGAACTAATGCTGCTGCCCAAACGCTGCTCCGGTATCTGCACATAAGTGCAGAGTGTAACATCATCACAACCGACCCATGTGCTGGTAAGTGTCTGGCCTAACCCAGGCGAGGTAGTGACGAGGCTAGGACCAGACTCCAGATAATCCTATGCAGTTATATATATGCGTATACAACGGAAAGATAGAAGGAGATAAACAATTAAAGTTGGGGAAGGGAAAC